AATCGACCCCCGAGAGGTCGATTTCTCCCCGCCGACTCAGGCGGGTAGTGTAGACCTAGCCTAAGTAATCACATGACCTGATTATTGTTACTCTTGCCTTTCTTCTCAACTTCGAGTCTGTTGTTTGCCATGCTTGTTGCTCAAATTATATTACAAGGTCTTTGGGGGCAAGGACCGTGCTTCTTATGAGTTTTGTCCAGTAGCTAGGGTGTTCAGGGCTTTGTCCTGACAGGGATATTTGTGTGTTGCCACACTAGAAATAAATAATCAAGTTTAGGCACCTGAATAGATGCTGATCACTGAGAACTCCCATTGGCTGCAGTGTTCAGCACTTCTGAGTTAGGTCTCGTCATCAGTTTTGCCAACTTCTGTGATATTTGTTGTTAAAGTCTGGAATCGGGTTATTGTGAGAATCTCAGCTTTCCTTTAAATTAGTTTCGACCCATTGTGGTTATGGAAAAAATCTTGAAAATGTGAAACCCAAATGCCCCGATTTTATAGGGACAGTCCTGATTTTTGGGTCTTTTTCTTATATAGACTCCTATTACGCCTCACCCCACCCCACCCCCCGTCCCGATTTTTCACACTTGCTTCTGGTCACCTTAGGAGGCCTGTGCCTCATGATTCTTGAATGCTTGGGGTTGGCAATATTGATTTAATTGTGTGTCAAAATAGGGACACTTTGAAAATGTCGTCTTTAGAGGTCAAGTATAAATTTACAAACAACATCATCTGTTTTTTTTGTGGAGTTTTAGAATCCACTTTGTCCTGCTGAGAAGTTCCATAATAAAGTAATAGGGCTAAAATAAAAATTTACTCTTTCTGTATAAATTTGTTTTGGGGGTCAAGGAGATACAGAACTGCCTTACTTTCATACATTGCAAGCAAAGCCAATCCAAGATTTCATTACAGGTCTTAATCATGAACTAAATATTTCAAATACTTGTATTACTTCCAGTAGCCTCTTTCCCCTCTCACAGAATGCCCCCAAAGGAGAGTGAAGCTTAAATAATGAGAGCTCAGAGTATAGCACCAGTTATCTACTAAAGTGGAGACAACATTGTTTATATTCAAGCATGAATTCCGATGACATTTAACAGAGTTAATGTTATCTTTATTTGGTATTATGTATCTTGCCTAGTTCCATTTGTTTTGTTGCATTTTTTAAAATGTCTCAAATTTCACTGGAGCTGGACCATCCCTGCTGACTATCACCACAAGCCTCTTTGGCATAAAAACATCTTTATTACTTCAACAATATATTTAACAGGTTATATCTATTTTGCTTCCAGCTTAGAATAGCAGCCAATAATGCCCATATTCATAAAGCTGTTTATTTGGTTTTAATGAGCATGATCTGCAGCTTGCAGTGAAAAGACAAGTTGAACTTAATGACCATAGCAAATGAATTGCTCTCTTGTTCAGATCTTTTCTGTCCAGGTAGGTTGATGTGCATTGGTTGGTATGAGTGTGGGAAAATTCTTTACCATGGGAAATAAACGGTGGGGGCCCTCTGAATGTAGTGTTGTGCCTTTTAGAACTGCCACATGTCTCAAATCAGTTTTAACTTGAATAGGCTTTTGGTCAACAAAATCTCAGTGGATACGTAGCTGAGCCTTCATTTATGGGGAGGAGGATGAGGATACAAAATAACATTAAAACATGCACACAAAGAAGGGAGATACTCCTGAATCTAATGTTGAAATCAATGTGACGTTCATGCCTCTTCTATAGAGGCAGCCATATGTCTGTGATAAAAGAGTTTAACAATGAAATATGTATCAAAAGAGTTTACACAATGGTGACTTTCCTAACAATGGTATCATTTCTTCCCTCCAGGTATTTCCGTAACAAAGAAGACGCATACATGTAAGTAATACCTTTTGATTTGGTCTTCTCTTACAAATGGAATTCATGGTAGTCTGACCGATGTGCGTCTCAGACTATTACCTGCTTGTCTGATCTGGGGAAGTTCCACTTTACAAACTCTAGTGTGCTTCCCAAGACAGAGTGGTTCAGCCCAGGGATGATATTTCCTCAAAATGAGTATGCAGTGTGTGTGTGTTGTGGGGCAGAGGGAGGGAAGGGAAGGGGTTTGAAGAGGCAAGGCAAAGCTCTGGGTTCTGATATATGTGCCTTTCTAGTCAGCTGGTAACTAGTGTATCCTGAAGCCAAGGGAGAGGACAATTACCTTCTGATCTCCCTTCATTTGTGTGCCTGTTACATATGCGATATGCTTCAAATGAAAACCTATTTTTTTAATTTTATTTTAAATCTCCTCCCCCTTTCTGTCCACTAGTCTATAAGTGAGATGATGTTGTGCTTGTGCTTAAGGAGAATTCTGGTTGGAAATGAGAAATTTTTCTGTTAGCCATCCATATACAAAGCCATAGTAAATGGCATTGTGGGAACTGATGTGGACGTGTGCACTGACTGAATACATATTTACTCCGAGTCCCCCTCGTCACAGACAGCTACTTTTGGGATCAGCCCACATTCTTACTCCACAGTGAGCCAAAAGCTCAGAGCTGAGGAAATGTTACGATTTGTTACTGGGGAGTGATATTATACACTGCAGCGTTCCGAAATCAGAATGTCACGGAAGTCAGGTACAGTGAAGTGATTGCACTTGCCCACCGTTTCATGTATCCATAGAAGGAGGAAAAATTAATGGAGATGGAATTTGATGAATGCCTCGTATTGGTATCATACACGCTGCGATGCAAGACTTGTTAGGATGTATTTTAACAAAGACAAGACTTAGAGGTGTGTTTACCACAGCTTCATAGGGTGAAACCAGTTTCATAAAATATCTTACATTAATTTCACTCCTACTTCATTCATCATTTTAAAATATCCATGTTAAGAAAAAACACTCTTTAAAATCATGTACCACTAAACAATGTCTTATATTTAATAAGAGATTTATAGTCTACGGTTTGTTGATGCAAGACATTCTGATGTCACGTTGCTTGAAATGTTAAATGTCGCAAACTTGTTTAGAGCACAATGATGGTCGTCTGCATAGGAGGGTTTAGTACTAAAGACTCATTTTTAGGGTCAGATTCTCCCATTGGATGTATGGATATGTGGTTCCCATTGACACAAATGAGAACTACACATGGGCATCTGAGGGAAAAATTTGGTCCTTAGCTTTTGGTGAATATTTGAGCTCACAGTGACTGAGATTGACAGTACAGGAGACTGAAGTCCTCTGTATATCCGCAGGCCAGGCAATGTACAGACAGCTTCCTTGCACAGCCTTGCCCATGAGCTCAACCCTGGCCTGGAGGGACCACCCTCTCTAGAGGTGGTAAGTAATTCAGAATTTATGCTAGCTCAGTCCTGGGCCTCTCTTGTGCAGAGGCTAGTGATTGTGCTTACTGTATGTGGTGGTTTGTGACATGGACTCCCAGTCCACCTGGAACTAAGCTGAAACCACCAGACTATATATTTTATATACAGTAGCGCCTTTGACTGACCCGCTGTCAGGAACGCCACTTCTCCATTTTCACTCTGTAGTGCCATATATACACAAAATTATACATTAGCCAGAGACCTGAAGACTGTAGGAAAGACTTTCTTGATCCATGTCAGACTAATAAGGAATTGTCCTCGCTTATGCTTTAATGGATTGTGCGTCTGGGGCCTATTATGGAAAACAGTCTTGTTTTGGAAACCTAATTTGTTGTACTGGATGATTTATGCTAAGTCACTGTTGACAGTGCTGACTAATGATGGCAAAATGTTGTCTTCTATCAGTAACAGTGAAAGATATTCTGATTCATAGCTTGCAGAAAAGCAAAGCTTTGTTTGTCTTCTATTATGTATATGCTGCTACCGATCACACACGTGCCCTATGAACTAGCTCAAGCAGATATTAGAGGCCCTATTCTTTGGCATCATACACATGAAGAAAGATCTACTTGTTTGTAATTTAAAGAGAATTGGCAAAGTGTGGTTCTTACTTTGCACATTGGTACCTAGCAGATGTTTCTATGCACTTCTCTGAAGCATAACAAGCAAGTTGTCTGAGCAATGGAAAGATGAGCTTATCCATTAGGCAAGGATCAGAATAAAATGAGTAATATACAATAGTTGTAATATAGTCACCATTTGCAGATTCCTTCAACTTTGATTGAAGTTCCTTGGGAACTAAATGATACTGTGACTAATTCTCTTAAATCAGGAATTGATTCAGACTATGCATCCTTAACAATTTGTCATAATGCACAGTAAATTTGTCTTTTTTCCTATCATTGCGCAGAAAGCAGCTTAGAGCTTAAAATGTCCAGTTGTGGAATAGTGTCAGACAAGTGTAGTGTCATGTTGGTACCCAGATGCAAGAATCACAAAGCAAATCTGAGCTGTTATGGAGCCTAATAATATGCAAATGAAATGACACTCTTCTCTGACAAGCATTTTGTGTATTGACTTATGCCAAATCATTGTGTTTGTATATTTAATCTATTTATCCACAGCATGCTCATCACCATGAGCATAAATTTAACAAAAATAAGACAAGTTAAATAGATTAGGATTTCTCTAAGGAAAATCCAAAAGCATTCTTACCAGCAGCATGTGACGTGGGTGCTGTATGTGATACTATTTAGCGATCCAGCAAAAGTGCACAGTTCTATCAAATTAAGTTCTTCCAAGTACAGAGGCATTTGAGTGTGCTGATTGGCTAAAAGTCCGGCACTGATTTTAGAAGAAGAGTTCTAATGACTTTCTGACCCAGTTAGAGTCATGTGTTGTAATGTCACTTATTCTAGTAAACGTGCCAGGAAGTTTTGGCTAATTATATGGAACATAGCCATGTTGAACAGCAGATTAGCTCTGTTTGGATATCACCCATTGTGTTGGGTTGGAGTAAATAGTCTTGTTGTGGTAGTCTTCTTGGTATTAGTCTTTGATAAATTCTGTATTAGGTGAAATTTAACTGCTGGGCAAAAGGCAGCTGGTTAGTTGAACTCACTTCTGAATCAAATCCTACACAACTATTCCTGCACATGCAAAATACTGTTGAAGAGCTTTATGTCTCCCATCTATTTAACTAGCTGAATAAAACCCAAGAGATTTAAGCTCTTGCTAGTATAACCTGTCACTAATGCTCTGTGGTTATATCTCACCACGTAAAAATGCACTCTTTCTCTCTAGCAGCTTCTGTAATGTCATCTTTATATTATGTCCTTCAGGAATTTGTGAGTTACGATACTTGAAACCCCACAAGAGAGTGGTGTTCTTCCAAACTTTGCCCACAGAATAAGCTATGTTCACACAAGAGACTGAGGCACTGCTTTCAGGAGATTGAGCACATGTTCAAAACAGGATGACGCATAGTGTCTCGGCCTCTTGGGCTTGGCTCCTCTTCCTTGGGGCTTGTATGCCCTGCTGGCCTCTGCTAGGCTCCCTGGACTTTGATTTTTCTTGGTTAGGGAAAAAGATGATGGTACTTGCTGAAACCTCCCCCATTCCCAACCCCATTGGCACCAAAGTGGCACGTCCCTTAGAGTAGATTGTGCTGCTCTTCATAAAATGCTCCTCCTCTCCCTTCTTCTATGCCAAGGGTGCGCAAACTATGGCCCATGGGCCACATCTGGCCCACCAGCCATTTTAATCCAGCCCTCGAGCGCCTGCTGGGGAGCAGAGTCTGAGGCTTGCCCCGCTCCGATGCTCCAGCTGGGGAGCAGGGTCGGGGGCTGCTCCCCGCGGCTCCCGGAAGCACCAGCATGTCTCCCCTCTGGCTCCTACACATAGGAGCAGCCAGGGGGCTCTGCCCCAAGCGCCACTCCAGCAGCTCCCATTGTCTGGGAACTGCGGCCAATGGGAGCTGCAGGGGGCGGTGCCTGCGGACGGGGCAGCGCGCAGCAGAGCCGTCTGGCCGCGCCTCTACGTAGGAGCCGGAGGGTGGACATGCCGCTGCTTCCGGGAGCTGCTTGAGGTAAGCGCCACCCGAAGCCTGCACCCCTGAGTCACCAACCCACCTCCCAACCCCCGGCCCCAGCCCTGATCCCCCTCCCACACTCTGAACCCCTCAGTTCCAGCCTGGTGCATCCTTCTACACCCCTAACCTCTCATCCCCAGCCTGCAACCCAGAGCCTGTACCCTAGCCAGAGTCCTCACCCCCTCCCGCACCCCTGCCCCAATTTCGTGAGCATTCATGGCCCGCCATATAATTTCTATATCCAGACGTGGCCCTCGGGCCGAAAAGTTTGCCCACCCCTCTTCTATGCTATGAGTAAAGAAACACTCTAAATTCACTTCGATGACAATAATAATAGCTAACACCCACTGAGATGAACTGGGCAGTTCACATTTCCCAGAACTACAGTTTCAGGCTCTTTGGAAACTCAGACAACCATCACTGCATCTGTTACACTGAGCTTACATTTTCAAAACTTTCCTTACTACCATAATAGCTAGAGACCCCTTTTAAAAAATAAAACTTGCAAGTCTGGAGAAAAAGAGGCCTCTGTGCTGCTTTTTGACTCAAGTCGAGCCACGGAAGTGTAATAAGTGAATATGGTAGCATTTCACCTCTAGCATCTTGAATTCAGTTCTTACCATATTCAGTGAAAATCACTTAAGTGGACACAGTGCAGATACTTGCTGAGATGTCTCCATACTACCATGCAATTTTTCATGTTTGGTATGCTTATTCAGTGAAATAGCTTGTCCTGTATTGGTTCAGAGTTTGAGCTTGTCTACACTTGGCAGTGTACTGGAATAGCTATTGCAGAATAATTCTAGAATAACTATTTCAATATAA